ATATTGGTTATATAGAGAGCTTGACAAAATTTTAAATGCGAGAAACAGTTATCAACAAACGCCATCTAGTGGCAAGTTTGTAAGTATTCATATATAATTTAAATTTGAAAAACTATGTATCTTTTTGTCAAAGAGTTGTCGTAAACATATGACACTTTTTATTGTCAAAACTTTGTTAGCAACAAACTACAATTAAAAAAACTTAATTCATAACTTGAAGACATATGCACAACAACGAATGGAAAGCATAACATGTTTTGTTGTCGACATGTTTTCATCATGCTCAAGGTAAAACTTGTAATCTTTTATTACAAACATGTTGCTGTAATGTTGCTGACAACATAATGTATGTACCACTTGTAAACGAAGTTCGAGATTACTATCGTAGGTGGCAGCAGACAAGACCAGGGATTTTCGGAAGACAAGCGATTTTATTTTTTTAATTACCAATGTATTACTACGCCGAGTGCGCTCATTCTGTTACTAGCCCGCCTAGGTTTTTTCGCCTCTCATCCTTTGTGTTTAACGTCTTTCAACATATTTGTACTGCTTTATACATATTTTCCACATTTTGGTTTTATATAATAAATATTCTTGATATAATTGAGCCACGAGTGTTGTTGGAGATCCTGATACTGTCCCTCCCGAACTACAAGTAACACCACTATTGCTTATCGTTTGCTCTTGAAATTTCATCAATTGATTACACATATAAGCAGTTATGTTACTGTATTTGTAATGTATTGTTTTTCGATGTCAACAAATGTATAGCAAACATGTAACAACTCATGCAATGGATTAGTTTGCTCGATATGATGAATCCTGGTTGGTTATCTGGGTAATAATGTGTCAACAAAATTTTAATAACTTAAGGGGATCCTAAACCCGAGATCAAACTCCAAAAATTCGCTGTTTTTTCGACGATTTGTGAGTATGTATGCGTGCAATATTGATGTAGTAGTGTGTAGTGATGTGTTCATATTTACTACCATATCGATATCTCAAGATCGGAAGAGCACACGTCTGAACTCCAGTCA